AAACCCACAATGCTAACACTGAGCCTCTGAATTAGCAACGAGCGAAAAATGCTAACACCTTACTGCACCGAAAATCACTCACAAAACCTTATTATTTATCTTTTCAACACATCCAACACATCGATTCATATCGTGAGGTGACACAGAATCTATTGACACCGACATTGCCACTGAATTATACGTATTTGCGACGTTATAAGCAAAAACGGACATCAAAACAGGTGACGCTAGGTAGCTAAAAATGCTAACATTTTTACCTTGGCCCTGTAGTCTCTCCAAAGTGGTCTTCAATGGCATTAAAACGATAAAAATGCTGCTGAAGTTAATCCATAGGTTAATCTAATGTGTCTGTGTCCCTTTGAAATGATTTCTGATAATCCATAAGCATTAAAACTGCTTTTCCGTTTCCAGATGTCAAAGCTAGAGATAGGTTCACTCTGATTGAAAATTACATGTGCGAAGCCCCCACCTTTTCTCTTCACAACGTGTGTGTGTGGGGGACTCCCCCTTCGATTCTATTGGCTCTAACGGTCAGAAAGAGGTGTCAACCATCAAAATCGAGCAAGGGGGGCCAGAGATATGGAAAATCCACCCAAATGACCCCAGAAGTGGTTTCTTTTTGCTAAATCTCTCTAAAAAGGTCAAATGTCACTTGTTTTGCATCAATATTGATACAGGGTACTTATCTTATGTTGTACTTTGGATTCCTAAAGCTTTTAGTCTACTAACCCATCATCCAAGGGTGTGTTTCACTATAAGTAAAAAATAATTTTTGGACGGACACTATAATTTACAGTTTTTTACTATGTAAAATCTGAATTTTCTTTAAAATAAAAAACATCTATATTGATTCTGACTTTTCTACATCCAACTCACAGGTTTATCATTACTTTAAGAAAAAAGATTATTAATTTAACCCTTTTAGAAGGGAAGATATGGTCATTTGTTCTGGGAATGTCATTTTCGAGCCTGAGACCTGATAACAGGATAAATATAGCATGATAGGTCCACTTTAAGTGCTTTGACAAAAAATCCATAAAAAAATGTCATCTGTGGAAGCCGTAGTACTGTAAAAAGCACGACCAATCATTTTAGCCGGCCCGGCTAAAATAACTGGATGACCTACCTGCCTGTCAGCCTTTCATCTGTGCACAAACTTATCTCGTGCCCTCATTGGTCATGTGCGCGTTCGTGTGTGTTGGAGGAGGGGCTCTATAAGGAAGTGGCAGATTTTCTCCGGTTGTGTATTTTCAAATGACGGAGAGAAAATTGGGATTTTAGCCTTTGCAGACCATTGATATTCATTGAAAGCTATATAACACACTACAGGAAAGCATAATATGGCCTCTTTACTGTCCTTTTTTGCTCTCAGAAAATATTTCTGACCACAAAAATCATTGAGTTTGTTCAAATAATAGATTGAAAAAAAAGAGCTTTAAGTATGCTCAAGTAGGCCTCCAGTATGGGAAAGTTGTGTGCAAAATACAGTTGTTATATTTGCATATCCAAACTGAATAGCTTATCTTGTTAAGACAGAGCTATATGCAAAGATTCATGTTAGTCGCAATTTGCCTTTTAGAGCTCAACCCATTAGATACTGAGAGAATTATTCAGCATATTTCCACACAGCCTTCTCCAGCGAGGGTTTAAACACTGTTTCCTTTTTCTACGCCTCTTTACACGCTAGACAGACATTCCGACCGTTTTTTGCAATTAATATGCTAAGTGGTGCAAAGCCTCACAATGTCACTTTTCATTTACATCTCCGGCTCTGTTTATATCTTTCACTCGTGTGTCAGTCTTTCACGCTGGGTAAACACCTCGCTCTGACAGCTGCTGCGCACCTTTTCTTTATACCCTCAAGCTCTACGTCTCTCTCTGTCTTCATGACTCCGTGGCATTTGGCCTGCTGTTTACTAGCTGGTGACACGGGCCGGGGTCCACAGGGAAGACATAGGTGACCACCGTGGAGCATCCATCACTCACACATACACGTATTTACACACATGCGCAGGCTTATGGTGAGGGAAAGCTCTTGTAGAGGAAAGGGACAGGTGACCACCTCGAGTGCGCCCATCACTTCACACACATGGAGTATAAACACACACAGACAGGCACTGCTTGTGTAGCGGAGGGTCACAGATGACCACCTCAGAGCAGCCATCACTTCACACACCTTTACACACACACACACACACACAGACTTGGCTTTTCCAAGCAGAGGGTTTTTCCCCTTACGGTGAAACACACCTCGGTGGCCAAATGGCCTTTTGACGTACTCACTGCCAGCTGGGAAAACATCGTTCGCTGCATGTTTCACCAGCAGCCTGGGCAGCAGGAAAATGGCCCTGAAGAGGAGGAGGGGGAGGGGGGGTCAAAGGGGTTGCTTCTTTCCCATGTGAGAGTCTCAGGTGGATACAGGTGTTTTCCCAGATTCAGGGGTTTATTGGTAGGTATGTACTGTACCCATCCACACATTGAACTTAAGTATAAATATTGCAATATTATTATTATTAATAATGTGCTATGATAATGTGCAATTACGTATCTTTTTTTGCACTACTAAATACTGGTAATATTTACATTCATTATGTGACCGTCTATGTGTCATGTTTCCTGTAGATATTTAATTGCTCTTTTTACTGCACTTTTAGTGTACAGTTTTACTATTATGCTGCTGTGTTTATTGTATGTTTGTAACTGGCACAACAATTTCCTTCGGGATAAATAAAGTATTATCTTATCTTAAGTATAGTAACACAAGATTGAAAATACTCCATTACCCAGAAAAATAATGCATTCAAAATGTCACAGTTAAGAATGAACAGCTAATATTTATTTTATTTTACAGATATATTATTATGACTATTTTGTATTTGATTATATTTGTGATACATGTAATAAATACATTATTAATCAATCTTTAATTATTAATCAAAGAGCAATAAAACAATGATTAAAAAAATGATTTTTAAGTCAATGATTCTACATATCAGAACTAGTGTAATGAGAACAAATAATAATAATGTAAAAAAGGGAAAGCTTTAGGCCATAGGCCGTGTGAAAACACTATTATAAAATTAAATCGTTTTTGAGGGAGTTAAAATATATAAAGAGCTTGCCAGGCTGACCTCCTTGTGAAGGTTGTTCCAAAGAGTGGGTGCCCTAACAAAAAGAGGACACACCAAAACACATGGGACAGGCAACATTGTTTATTAACAAAGCATGAAATCATTGCACCTGTTGAGTGAGCGGTGGTCTGAATTGTGTCGACCATCACTCTGATGCCCTGGCTGCCAAACATGTCAGACTGTTCCTTTACATCTGGGGATGTCTGTAGTTTACTTGCGGCTGTTGTTGGTGTTGTTATTGACAAAGTTAAATAATGTGCCAAGGATGTTTTTTAAATGTTTTAATTTAGGAATCTGCACTATTAGCGAGAAACACAAGCTTGTATGTATTGATCAATATGAAGGGATGGAATTGTTTGTTATTGTTATGATGCTGGGACTCCCCAGGGTAGTTCACCTACTGTATTGCCAGCAAGGAATGCTTTTAAGGCGAACATCAGTGGAAAAAAAACACGTTTGCGCAGTAAATGCCATAAATTGTTGAAATATTTGTAAATGTCTGGCTGCAGCCTGTATCTACAAGATTGACTGGGATTTGTACATCTGAATAATAATCTTCTTTTAGTTAGGTGTGTGATAATTTAACCATGCACAGAGAAAGGAATTCACTATGTATCTTCACCACATATCTGCCTTGAATGTATCTATTAAAGGGGCCCTATTGTGGTTATTTGGTGTTTCCCCTTTCCTGTAGTTTATATATACATAGGTTTTTGGGTACCACTTTACAATAAGTAAAGGGTTTATAATTAGGTTATGAATTAGGTTGTAAACACTTTATTAATCATTAAGAACCATTTATAAACCAGTTCTAACATAGTTTTCATATATCAACACAGGCTCACTATTTGGCAAGATGACTAAGCCTTATGTTGGCTACTTAGCGAGAATCAACTCAGTGAGCAACAGACACCAAGGATGCTGGCTGATGAAGAAGACGAAGTAAGCTAAGTAGCCAATATAAGGCTGAGCAGTACAGATAAATGTGGGCTCACTATTTGGCAAGCAACCGGTCACAGTTGCCCTGTTTATCTCATGTCTTATAAAAGCTTATTAATGATTTATAAAGTGTTCACAACCTAATTAATAAATGAATTACAAACTATTCGTAAACCCTTTATAAGGGTAGGCTTATTGTAAAGTGGTACCGGTTTTTGTGCATGTAAATGGTCAGCAAAGGCTCAAATCCAAAAGTTCCCTCCAGAGGGAGTTTCTTTCCCGTTGTTGTCACAGATGTTGACATCAGTGTAATGTTCACTAATGGTTGACAGATTCCCTGCCCTTAAAAAAGAAATAAAAATCAGCACCAGAGCTCTGTTAAACAGCACCTAATTGTTTCACTTTCATAGACAGGCCCTACAGGTACATACTGTCCTTAAAGTGTGTGTTGTGGTGGAGCTAAGCATCTGTTCTACATTTTGTTAAGATGTCTGTTTAAAGTTCAGCAGTGAGTTATCCCTGTACCGTATATACTTTATTAAGCCTGAGGGAGGTTCAGCAGAGCTGCCCTCATCTTACCTCAAAGTACCAAAAAAAATGGTTTAAATTCACTAAATCATGCACCACGTTTACATTTGCTCAACCTTCTGATTTTATAAGAACCTGTAAAACTGATAAGTGTACTGTTGTCAAGTCAACCCAGGAGTTTTGAATGAATGCATTTTCTTTAAACACAAGTTCTTCCTTATTTAAAGAAGAAATCAAACATTGTTAGTGGGACAAAACCTATACAGTAGAAATATATATACAGTAATCATTACATTTCCAGTAGTCTCATCTCAAACTCTACAGTCCATGAATCAAATGGGAGTGAAATCGTTGGTTGAATGATGACTTCTGAACACAAATTTGTCTTTCTCCCTTCCGCAGAAACCCTTTTGAGCTTCGTCGATGACATCTTGTCTGGGGCCAGGTCTCCCTGTGTGATGTTAGGGGACATCCCCGACCTCCTGTCCTCCTCCATCAGCATGATCATCCGCTGCCTAGAGCCGGACACCACCTACATGTAAGTCACTTTCTATTTGTCCTCCTTTAAAAAAACAGACTAAACAACCAGTAAACTAAACTGATTTGGGAACCAGATCTCACTCTCACTGTCAGATGTTAAGATAAAGCACATTTTGCCTTGTTTATTTTGCACAATTTCAAATAAAAAAAAGATGTTTGATTTCTAAACAATGTACCAATTCTATGCAAGTTGTTAAAGGTCCCCTATTATACTGTTTTTCATCAATATATTATATTTCTCAGATATATACAAAACATGTCTCTGAAGTGTTTGGCTCGAAATACCAAACAGATCATGCATTGTAGCATCCCATAAACCCCTCTGTTTCAGCCCTGTTTCAAAAGTGCTGAATCTGTGTCTGTTACTTTAGATGAAAATAAGGTGCCACTCCCCACGCCCCTCTGATGCCCCTTTCACACCAACGCGGTTCCCGTTCTAGCTCCGTGCTAGAGCTCTTCTGGTTCGGAACCGGTTTTTCTTTTCAGCCCCCGTTTTGTTCACACCACCCAGAGCCCGACTGGTGCTGCCGCTGCTGCGTCATGACGTCACCGTTTACGTCGCTGATTTTCTCATCAACGGTGCTCACAACAACAACAATGGGGGACTGCGTCGGGTCGATGATCGTGTTACTTTTAATCATACGAAGCCAGATTAAATTAAATAACGACTTCTCCAACCTTATACTTTTCTCCAGAATGCCTTGGTTCATTGTTTATTAATGTGTTTCAAACTTTCAGCGGCATTTACCGACTGCTGCAGTGCTGCTCTTCCACCGGAGTTTATTCTCCCGTTAGCTCCGGGTTAGCTCACACGGCAGCGGCCGCTGTAAAGTATTTACTGTCTGACTGTCACACAAGCAGCTGATACATATCCCCAGTTCCCCATGACCTATCATGCAAAATGCACTTTTGTACGTCTTTTTTATACATGAATATGTGTCCCCGGTGTTCCAGGGAACTCACCAAGTGTCAGAAAACACAACCCTCTCTATTTTCCTCCATACCCAAATCTCTAAAAAGGGGCTACAACGGATCTGATCAAAACTGATCCAGATTTGAACACTGTCCTGACGTCAGGACGGTGGCGCTACGGCTATTGGGCCAACTCTCCACCTATCAGGGGAATGTGGGGTTGGGCCACGGCTGGCCATTGCCGCTCGAAAGCGCTGGAGACGCTGTAGTACATATGCCAGGCCTGTAAGTGGCGCTGTAGTCTGCCACAAAAGCAGCGAAGAAGACTTCCCGCGCATGGTTACCATGGTTACCCTTCTGTTTATTCTCCGCTGTGGCTTTTTTTCTCCCTCCCCGAGGCAAGCGTTTGCTCCCGCTGCTTTAATTCAATGCAATCCCTCCCCGTCGAGGCACGCACTGTAATTCTCTCCGGTTAGTCCACCAGCAGATGACAAACACCCACCTCTCCGCCTCTTCCAAGGAACGAGGGGACCGTGCAGCAGAGTTTCAGTTAGGTTTTCTTTCGCCGGTCAAGATGTCCGTTAAAGTTTAAATCTTCCGGACAAAATTAGAAAAGTTCTTCTTTGTTATTTATTGAGCTTTAAAACAAATGAATAACGACTCTATATAATAAAACATGGAGGACGGAGATCTATTTTTCTCTCCCTAGTCTGACTTGATCAGAGCGGCTCCCCTCTCCTGCAGGGGGGCGTGGTCAGCTGCAGCTCACAGAATTGGCTGGCAGGGCTGGAGAACAGCAAATAGAGCGTTGTTAATCGCGAAGCGCTGTACTCCACAACCGCCCCCCCCCCCCCCCCCCCCCCCGTTGACAATCGCCAGAAGTTGGAGTACCAAACACTGACTCCAGGTACTCATCTGAGTACCTCACTGAGAAAGTTGTGTGCACCCCTGATGATAGGTGTCCTTTAAGTGAATGTGTTTCAGTATGAATTGACGCTGTTTGGCATCACAACACTTATGAAAGTTTCTCTGGTATAAAATGGGTGATGTTAGCATAGCAACCGAAGCTAAACTGACTATCTTGACTACTTGTTGTTGCTATCCTATTGTGGCATAAACCGTTTTATACAGGCACATTTTACCGGCGTATTTTTCATTATGATTCTACTTGTGATAGTCGGACATGACAACCTGTGCAGCCCATGTATTGATTCCATCCGATAGCTGCTATAATACAAAACAAAACGTCTGCCTGCTCTCCACAATGATCAATAACAGTGAACAGATGGTCAAAGTAAGGTACAAATAAACAGAATCACACGAAGCCTGGTTAGTGTTGCCTGACTTTATAAAGTGTGTTTTTTTTATAAGTGTGTGGTTGCGTTCTAGTCACTTTGCTCAGCGCTACTGCTTGTTACAACTTTTATTGGCTGTACTTGCCTTAAACTGTTAGCTCAGGTTAATCTCGCCCCCCTCCGACCTAAGCGTGACGTATGCGTTTCTTGCTTCTAGACCGAAAAATGTTTGGTGCTTGGTAAGCACCGGTTTTCGGTGCTTAGAGGCGGCTCCGCTGTGGTGTGAACAGGAAAAACCGGTGCTTATCAGGCTCTAGCTCCGAACCGGCCCTGGAACCGCGTTGGTGTGAAAGGGGCATGAGAGATATTTGGTTAAAAAGAACACAATGGTGCTCGAGGAGGAGATTCAGGTGATAAGGTGGGGGGATGTTACCTTGGTTGAATTTTGGCTAATGGTTAAACAAGCCAAAAAATCGTTATGACATCATAAAGTGGCCAAAATCTGATCAGCTCATTTTCAGACAGGTTTTTATATAAATGGATCAGGACAAAAAGAGAGGGGGTCTTTTTTCCTGAAAATTTCAGAATCTCTTTACACAGAGGGGACACATATTTATGTATCAAAGACATGTAAAAGTGGATGTTGCATAATAGGTGACCTTTAATATGGATTCTGTTCACAATTAAAATATGATTGAATTAAATCCACTATTCTGGCTGAAAAACTTTCATTTTTGAGTATGCTGCTGCTGAAAACAATTGTCCCACAATGCATTGCCCATTGGACATGGAGAAGCCATTCACAGCTGGAAAAGATTAAAGTAATTGCAAATGTGGTGAGACAGCTCCAGAAAGAACAAACAAGAAATCATCTTTGGAAAAATATTAGCTTTTCTCTCAGTGTTGTTTAATTGTTAGCGTCATTCAAAGTCATAGTTTGATTGACGTCTTACGTTGCACAAATTGTATCATTTCCTGTCATAATGAAACGGTTAACCATGCTGATTTGGTATACTTACTGCAAAGACAGTATACTATGAGATTAGTAGTAATTATAATAGGAATGAAAAATGCTTTATTTGCCACAAACAACTTGTACTAACAGATAGTAGCTGTAGTTAGCAACATTTATGATGCTTTGAGGTGTTTAGTCTAGCCAAAGTTGGTCCAAAGTAAGCAGTGGGAAGTACAGAAGCTCCATCAAAGTTACTTTGCAACAGTTTGTGTTATAAACTCATGTAGAAATAGCAACATACATTTTGTGGTTTATGAACATTTGAGCTATATACTGACAAAGAGCAACCTACCAACCTTTGCAACGTGAATCAAAACAACTGAAGAGTGAATTAAATCCCTAAACCTTCATTTTTTAAGGCAAGTTTTTATTTTATTTAAGATGTTCAGGAAGGGGCAACTCCATAGAAGCCTATGAAAAGATTACATACTTCGCTATTATCCAATTGGGACTCCAAATATATGATAAAGCAGTGAATGCTTTACGGCGTGGCAACCTTGTGAATGACAAGTCGCTAAGGGCCAACAAGCTTTCCATAAGAGATATGTAGCAATTAGCCTCCATCCTAGCTCTAACATTTCACTTTGACCTTAGCATACCATTATCGTGACTGACTGGCATCAAACCCTTAAGGCTGGCTAAGGTATGTTTTTGGTTTAATATAAGCTAGTTGAATCTGAATTGTGATAATTCCTGTAATTTTAGTTTAAGCTTGGTGTTAAAAACATTATTAATATATTAATTAATTTCACAGTCCCCACAAATATGTTAGATAAATACAATAAAAACAGTTTAATAAAGAAATGTTTACTCTATGTTATCTACAATCATATAGGTCTTTATTCTGTCTTTATGTCTGTATGCAGTTTAACAATGTGTTGCACACACACAGATACACACACCAGATGCTCTCATGCACATGCTGACATTTATCTCACAGACAGCCTGCCAGGAGGGAAGCCACGCGGACTTCTCTGAGAGGCAAAAGGCAGATTAGGGTGAAGAGAAAGAAATGGAGAAGCAGAGGGAAAGTTTGGGTTAGAAGAGAAAGAGAAAAGAATGAGAAAAAAATATCAAGAGTTTGGATGTATGTGGGCTGGATAAGCAGCTACACTACACATGCCCTTTTAATCCTGACATCAGCGGGACTCTCTCCTCCCTGTCTGGCAGCTCATTCATCTTTCAAGCCACGGCGACGTCTCTCCCTTCAGGCTGCAACCCACTCCTCATGTTTTCTGTACAGACAGAGCACTTACAAAGCATTGGATCAGTGCCTTGTGTGGGGGGGGAAATGCATTGTGTGGGGAGAAGTATTCACATTATGTAAGCATGACACAGAAAACATACTCCGCAGCTGCATAAAAAGTTAAGTCCAAAACGCTAAGACATGTTGGAAATGTTTAAACGTTTAGAGTCTGAGGCTGGAAACGAACCAAGTCTCTCTCTTTTTCAGTGAACTATGCATGTGTGTAGTCAACTGTTTTATCTTTACCTGCAATATAAGAGAAACACATCTCCAGGCTGATAGTAAAAATATCCATTTTTTAAAATTCTATGGTCTTCTCTGCCACTCTTTTTAAGCCCGTGGTGCTGCAGGTGGATGCAGTTTGTAGGAAGCTCACTAGGTGGAGATATTCATTCAGTGAAGTGACAGGTTATTAGCTCTGTAAAGAAGTGCTTATTGTCAGTCTGGCACTAGTGAAAGTCTCATTATAAACAAACGGAGCCTTTTTATTTGATTTCACAGGGAAATGATGATGTGATGTTGCTACAGCAGATTTAGATTAGGTTTTGTAGCAAACGATGTATCACTCACAATTAGCAGCAGGTTCTATAATCCGCTTCACGTGTGTTTATGTGTCTAGGTTCCGGCTGTGGGCAGTAGACAACACAGGCCGCCGCTCCAGCCCCAGTGAGGTCACCATCAAAACTCCGTGTCCAACTGTGGATGACGTCAAAGCACAAGGTGAGGAAAGACACGGGCAGGAGTCAAGAGGGGTGAATCATCTTTATTAGTGATCACAGGTGGCTCACAGAGATTTAATGTTCCAACACTTTAAATATGCTCGAGGTGATTGTGAAAAACAACGTCTGAAACAGCTTCATTTATGTACAGGCTTAGTCAGTCATTTAATAAAGGAGATGCTCCATCTTTTTTTAGTAATCGAGTAGCTAACTTGAAGGACAGACATTTTGCTGTTTTATTTCAAGACCTCACAAAACAGATGTTAAAGATCAGATCATAATGCGAGTAATAAAGTCACAGAGAGATAGTTTTCCTCTCTGCAGTTGCACTGTTTATGGACACGGTAAACTACAATTCCATGAGGATATTGACTTTAAAGAAATGCTGAAATATGTTGCCACTATCCGTACCAGCCTGAGATTTATAGTCACTGTGGATCCTGCTGCTCATTTAAATCGGTCAATGCTAAATATGCTCCAACCAGGTCATTTTAAAACTACTGGCTTAAACTTAAAGCCTGGAAATAAAATAATGGTGTGAAATACAATAGGTTCTACTTAGGACAGATTTGATATGCATTGTAAACCATGACAGGTGGATAAGTTCCTTACCTGGGGAACAAATCACCCATTGGAAGCAAAAATTCAACCATCCTTTTTAAATTAATTGAAAATATTCTATTTTATATATATTTGTTTCATTCTGTGTCTTTATTGTTCTCATCCTGCCTGTGCTGCAGCACCTCTTTTCACCCTCTGTCTGAAACCAGAGCCCAGTCTTCTCTTATTGGTTAGCTTTTGATAAATCAACCGCTTAGAGATGTTGCCAATAGTAGTGCAAACCAATAGAAGCACGAGTGTAACATAGTGATGTCAATATGTTACAGAAGTAAAGTAGTAGTCCAATGGAGGCGGGGGGGCGGTGTGCAGGAGAGAAACTCCCTCTGGACTGAGGGAACTTTGTCGACCATTCACATGCAACAAAACCTAAATAACACACAGGGTTGGGAGGGTTATCAGTGTAATCAGTTACTGAATACATGGCTCTGAAAGTAATCAGAATACAGTTACAGTTACGTGTCTTAAAAAAGTAACATATTCAGATTACTTTTAGAATACTTTCGGAATACTTTCTTTTTCCATAACAGATGGGTATGTTTTGGTGAACAGGAGACACTTATTTTACTGTTTTAATGGCTTATCAAGAACTCAAACACAACATCTTGGTGTCATTCTGGACAGCTCTCTCATCTGCACTCCACATAAAAAACATCACCCGGACTGCATTCTTTGTCCTGTCTTAAACCTTTCCTTAGAATATTTTATTAATTGTAAGGTGTCCTTAAATAGAATGAATTATCATTATTATTTATTATTATTATCTGAAACGATGTAATAACTTTTAAAACGTTTTCCAGTCACTTGCCCCATGCATTCAGCAGCAGGCCATTCACTTTGATTTTATCCCGTTATGAAATGTTATCATTTCGACAATAAAGAAATGCTACATAAACGTTATCTTGCACATTTTATCTAACCATCTCCGTTTCTGACTTTCAATATATTTTAAAAGAGATCTCTCTCTCTCATCTGCGTGCGGGGGCGGGGCCTCACAGACACGCTGCATCTCTCTCTCGCTCACAGACATGCTGCAGCCTGTGCAGTGTGCACACAGTTCTGCCGGTAATGAATATTACATTTTGTGAGGAAACTTTTCCACCAATAATTCCAATAAGTATTCCAAAATGTATTCACTTCAGGTTTACGAAAGTAACTGTAATCAGATTACTCGTTTTTCAAATGTAACGCCAGCTGAATACAGTTACTTGATTTTTGTATTCTGATTACGTAATGCCGTTACATGTATTCCGTTACAACCCAACCCTGCACACACACTACAGGAAAGAGCAAACCCCAAAAAGCATAATAGGGCCCCTTTAAGTTGTTGACCTATGACTGTGTTTGCCCTTCCAGAAATCTCAGATAAGATCTACAACCTGTTCAATGGTTACACCAGTGGGAAGGAGCAGCAGACGGCCTACAACACTCTAATGGACCTGGGGGCCCCCACACTCCACCGCGTGCTCTACCACTACAACCAGCGCTACGAGAGCTTTGGGGAATTCACCTGGAGGTGTGAGGATGAGCTGGGACCCAGGTACAGACCGCTTTTATCCGAGATAAAATGCAAATCTTAGCTTTTAAAGCAAGGCAAACGATGTTTCCTTTTAGAATTTGGAAATGGATTGAGCGTCTTATAAGCAGACCTTTTGCTTTGATACTGCAGTACACAAGGAAGGAAAAAATGTTGGAGTCGGTTGTATTTCAGAAGTGCCCTCAAACATGCATTGCTTCTAGTAAATTGATCGTTCACTTCAAAGGCAATGTATTAAAAGGACCCAACAACATAAAAGTCTGACCCAGAACAGCACTTCAGCTCTGCCCTGAGACTTTTTACTGAAAACCAAAAGAGCTGTTTTAACGATGTGTTGCCTGTGATTAGCCTCTGAAATTACAGAGATGTGTGTGTATGTGAAGCCCTTCTTCGTAAAACCCAATGACTCTAAACGAAACCTAGCAAACATAGCCGCATTTCCTTCACACGTTTTTCTAACAAAACTCCATACGAACCTGTCCTTCAGCGGCCTACCCAGACTAATGTCCATGGGATCAGCCCATTGAAATATTGGCTGCGTCCGACTCTTGTTTTTATTCTCCGAGGTAGGCAGATGTTCTGTTCCCAGCTTCCAAAGCGCTGTCTTTGATTGTAAGCGGTTGTTTGTGTGAATTACAGTTACAGGGGGAAATTAATTCAATGTGACTGGGAAGCCGAGTGAGCTTAACCTGTGACATCATCGAGGCCATTTAGTAACGCACAACCAGGGAGGGCCCGCCGTTTTCCCCCCAAAAAACGACGGATAAGTACCCGTAATGTAAAATTGTGGCTTAATGTTTTATAAACAGAGCCATGTGTCCAATGTAAATTATACTTATAAATGGCAGTCTGTGGGACGTGCTTTCACTCTGGCAGGTGAAACTGATTAACCAAGCTTCCCCTAATCCTCTCTGGTTCCCTCTTTGTCTGTGGGTTCCCCCCGCCCCAAATGAAAGGATGTTTTTAATCGGGATCACGCTGGAAAAAGTCGATGTAATTGAGGGAGTTGCTTCTGAAGTGTTCCATTAAAATACGCTTAGATTAACTGCCCCCCAATTTAGTTAAAGGGAGGGGTGATTCATGTTAATAAAAGGTACCTCAGAGCTGGGAAAGCAGCAGAGAAGTGCATTCAAGGTGAGGCCTGGTAACCGGGGGAAAGGAAGTATAAACTTGTTTTGTTTCGCTAAGTTCATCAAATGAGCATTAGACTTTCCTATGTCTCTGGTTTGGTGTGAGAAAAGACTCACTGACGCAGCGCTGGATGCTGACCATTGTTACAAAGTGAGAAGGCAAGCAGCGAGGTTAATGGTCTAACAGCAACACTGCTGTGTGTCTAAGTGTTGCCTGTGGCGTCAAACACTTTCTCTCTCTGACGTTATCCGACCGTTGGGAAAAACTGATGCAGCAGATAAATGGCTGCCAGGATAAAAATACTACCAATATCCTCTTTAGCGAACCACAATAATGGTCAGCCAAAGTCTCTGACTCTCCAAGCATCCAGTGTTGATGTTGGCCAGTTTCTGCTATAGGACCGAAGATCATTGTGATCATTGTCATTCAGTTGAACAAAGGTTGACTCTAACGGTGGGGTCTGATTTAGATTTCTCTCTTTGTATTTGTGCCTTAGCATGAATAAATCATATGTTCATATTCGGATAAAGATTCTATCTATAACATTTGTCTGAGCCAGGGGCCTGCAACCTTTTTGGCCAAAAGAGCCATGTTGCCCCCTTTTCCACCAATTTCTTTTGTCTGGAGCTGCAAAACATATTTGATAGCTTATAAAGTTGTATATATTGTTACATCATAGACAAAAACTACAGTTTCTTTGCATGTATTATTTATTACATTATACAAAACAGTTTACCTCTAATAATAAACAAAGAACTCTTATAAGGAGAATTAAAAAAAATACACAGGCCTACTTTAAAATAAATCAACACAGCACTTGGGGAGTCCTCTGCACATTTGAAGAAAATGAATATAATTAAAATGGGCCCACTTTGAAATAAATAAAACATATAGCTGCACCCTAAAAAGAGTTAACTGATTGAATTATGATCATCTGCTGTCTTCCTCTCCCGTGTTTTTCCTCCCATACGTAAAGGCTGCTGCACCTTTGACAACTTCTCTCCACATATCAAACATAGCGGTAAGCCAGCTTCGTTTGCTGTGAAAGCATATAACTCTGTCCACGCAGAATTAAACCCTCTGTGTTCCTTCCGATGCTTTACTTTTCTTTAATTTATCCATAGTTCGCTCATCGAGCCGGGGGTCAGGTTATTCACCTGCAAGAAAAGGCGCTGGTGCGGGACCGTAGCAGGATGTGACGCATATTTTAGTTGACCTAAACCTGAATTAAAACCGTTTTTAAAACAAATGTTACGTGTCACAGTATCACCTCAAAATACAAGATACGAAACATTTTCAACCGTGCAACAAAATATAAATAGTCCTACAAATATTTTTATTTTATTTCCTTCTTATTTTTGTCTAAGCTCAAGTGAGCCAGAGTAGAGGCCTTAAAGAGTCGCATGCGACTCGAGAGCCGCGGGTTGCCGAGGAAAAAGAGGAAGGCCGCACTGTGGATCTTCACATAATCCTTGGCAGCTGGCACACTTTAAAGACTCCTTTTTAAAGAATAACTTTCATTTGATGTTGCAGCACATGGAAGTTGCTCCCTCAACCAAACTAGAATGGCAATAGGAGAGTGTAGTCTTCTGCTAAGACCAATGGATGTATTTACATTCTCACCAGGTCTCAATTTCCAAATTGGTAACATGTTTGGTGTGTTATTGAGCTGTAAGATGTAATGGTGAAACAACATTGAAGCTTTTGAAAAGTTGTGTGTATTTTCTTGCTAAAACATGTTGATAGTTTGGATTTGATTTGGATTGAGAGGGCCTTGTATTTTCACTGTCGGAAGCTCATTGTATATTCCAATGCTAAAAACGCAAACATGACTCCTTGTTAAAGGATTCCAGTGGTTTAAAAGAGAGCGCAGATAAAGGCTTTGGTTTCATGGCTCGGCTGTCACTGATACGATGCGTGGAAAAGGTAGGACCCAAATGCAGACTACAAAAAGAGGTAACAGGTCTAGAAACAAAAACGAGCTTTATTTACAAAGCTGATGAGCAAAAAACATGGCATGGATAACATGGGTAGCACAAGGAATATACATCACCAAAAAACGATCGTGACCAACATGAAGGGAGACAGGAAAAACCAACAATGAACCGACAGGGGACAGAGACAAGACTAAATACAGAGAGGGGTAATCACGGGACAAGAAACAGCTGGGCAGGGGAGGTAGAAACACAAGGGCAACAGGCAGCGGCGGACTGGGACTACAAATCAGCCCGGGACTCTCGACCGGCCCACCTCGGAACCGCAAGTAATCACCGCTAGTAAATTATCAACGGGGGGGGGGGTGCTAGTGACTTATCCGACCGGCCCACATCGTCCAATCGGCCCACTTCAGTACCGGCCCATCGGGATTCGTCCCGACCGTCCCGATGGCCAGTCCGCCCCTGGCATCAGGTGAACACAATTAGACAATCAGACACAGGAGGAAAAACACAGGAAGGAAGACAAGAGACAGGGAGAACAGAATTACAAAAGACATACTAAACTAAAAACGTGACATAACATTAGGATCGTGACAGAACCCCCCCCCCTCGAGGGACGGATCCTACAGTAGACGTCCATAACACACAAACAAAGTCCAATACTTCGAAAAGGGTGGGTGGAGGGGGTCCGGAGGACGGGTCTGGGTCGACAGCCCAGAGCCCAACGAAACAGGACATGGGGTTGGCAGGACCCCCGGCAGAACAGTAGTCGGCGGGACCCCCAATGGGACAGGACATAGAGTTGGCAGGACCCCCGGCGAGACAGGTGTCGACTGGTCCTCCAACGGCACAAGACATAGGGTTGCAGGACCCCCGGCAGAACAGTAGTCGGTGGGACCCCAAACAAAACAGGACATGGGGTTGGCAGGACCCCCGGCAGAACAGTAGTCGGCGGGACCCCCAATGGGACAGGACATAGAGTTGGCAGGACCCCCGGCGAGACAGGTGTCGACTGGTCCTCCAACGGCACAAGACATAGGGTTGCAGGACCCCCGGCAGAACAGTAGTCGGCGGGACCCCAAACGAAACAGGACATGGGGTTGGCAGGACCCCCAGCAGAACAGTAGTCGGCGGGACCCCCAACAGAACAGGACATGGGGTTGGCAGGACCCCCGGCAGAACAGTAGTCGGCGGGACCCCCAACGGTACAGGACATAGAGTAGGGACTTGAGTAGGGACTAGAGAAGGAACTTGAGAGGGAAATCGAGAGGGAACATTGTCCACCTCCATTTGTGCCTTTTTGAGGACAGCCTCTTTGTCCCTTCTAGCCAAGGTTCTACTCCACTCAGCATAATGACACTGAAGAGTGTACTCTAGGGAGATCGAATCCATATCAAAATAAAAATCTGCTGGGTCCATAGTTGTTCGGTTCATTCTGATACGATGTGTGGAAAAGGTAGGACCCAAATGCAGACTACAAAAAGAGGTAACAGGTCTAGAAACAAAAACGAGCTTTATTTACAAAGCTGATGAGCAAAAAACATGGCATGGATAACATGGGTAGCACAAGGAATATACATCACCAAAAAACGATCGTGACCAACATGGAGGGAGACAGGAAAAACCAACAATGAACCGACAGGGGAACACAGGAAGAGACAAGACTAAATACAGAGAGGGGTAATCACGGGACAAGAAACAGCTGGGCAGGGGAGGTAGAAACACAAGGGCAACAGGTGAACACAATTAGACAATCAGACACAGGAGGAAAAACACAGGAAGGAAGACAAGAGACAGGGAGAACAGAATTACAAAATAACACCCAAAACAAGACAGACTAAACTAAAAACGTGACATAACATTAGGATCGTGACAGTCACGGTGAAGAGGTGGAAATGTTCAAAGTATTTCTGTTAGTTGTTGTTGTTTATTATC